CTGACAGGCCAATCTGATGGAGGCATTTTCTCTATGAAGGCACCCTCTTTCCAAATAACTGTAGCTTGTGTCAACTTGACAGAAACTAGTCAGCAAGGCCACCTTGAACTTCTGGGTCCCCTGCACCCACCTCCCTGTGTTAAGACTGCAGATGTGCACTTTCACGCCCATTTAACGTAGTGTTGGTGATTGAACCCGGGTACTTCTGTACAGTAGGCAAGCATTCTACCAAATAAGCCATGTCTCCAGCCCTGTTTTATTGTTATGATTCCATGAACAATCATTGGAATCATAGGTAGAGTATGAATAGACTTTTTATTTGTAATAAAAAGCTTTTTCCAAGCTGTCTTCTCCTCCATCCTTTCAGATACGAATATAAATGCTCAAAAGGGTTTTCAAAGGAGACATACACTCAACTACTCTGATAACTGGCCAATATTTAAGACATGTAACCTTGGGAGACCCTGAAGGTTATAGAGGCGACATCCCGTAGTCTCTGAGCTGTGCAGCTGCTGGAGGGTCTCCATGAGAATGAGGAGTGCAGTGGACAGGATTCATGAAGACTGATTCGGAAACTCCACCACGGGAGGGAAGAGGTCTGAGCCATCCCTGTGCCACCAGCGTGAGTCACTCCAGCGCCTGACACAAGCAGGGGGGAGGGGAGCTGCTTGCAATTAAAGTCCTTAGTCGCATCAGAGGACGTGTCCCTCCTCTTTGCCCACTTCTCAGCCCACTTCTGAGAGTCCTATAGGCGTGGAATAAGATGAACTGGCGTCTCGTAGGAGAGGCAGTTTTACTATTCTACAACATTTAAGCTCCTCTTACACGTACCTAGGAAAGCCATGTAGTGGGAAAGGCTCGTGCAGATAGGTGCTACTGTAAGCATCTCAAGCAAGAGGACACAACTCTGCTCTCACACAGTGAGACCCATCTATACTCAAAGCCACAGTGAATAATGGTGCTGACCATGGAGCGCCCTGCTGTCAGTAGCCCCTGCCCAGTGCATGGGCAGCACAGCCGTGAAGCGCTGTCTGGGCCGGAACACTGTCAGATGCAGAAGCCCCACAGTGACTTCCATCTCAGTTAGAAGGCTAGCACTCTGATATAATAGGATAACCTTGGAAGCAAAGAAAGAAAGAGAAACTTTGGGGTTCAGGGAAGGCTTCCTGGAGGAGTCAGTACCTGAAGACTCTGAAGGTTGAAAGGGAATGGCCAGTTAAAGAAGAAGAAACAAAATCAGAAAATCTAGGAACCAGACCTGCAAGGGTCATAAGTTTCAAAGTCTGTACTGACTCAAGTAAAACCTGCACCAGGGTGTGATGGGAGGAGAAATGGGCAGGTAACAAACGCTTTGTTTTCCAGGATGTCCTGAAGGTAATGAGGGGACACAGATGCGGAATGGTACAGCCAGGTTTGTGGGTTTTGAAATATCGGGTCTTTGTCCCTTCAGTCTGTTGTGACTGTAGACCATGAAGAGGTTGTGCATACACAACAGGAACATGTGGACCACTCACTGTCCTAGAGGCTGGAAGCGTGAGATCAGGATGCCAGCAGACACAGCGTCTGGTGAGGGAGCACTTGTACATGCACCTTCTTGCTGTATCCTCACGGTAGAGGGACAAGTCGTCTCTGTTGAGTTTTTATTAGGGCACTAATCCTAATCCCATCCCAAGGCGCCTCCAACTCCCTGTATCATCACCTCCAGAGGTGATGAAGCTTGGGGGACAGTAATAAGGTGAGTAGGAAGTCAACATCCTGTAATTGCACACCCTGTGCCTGTCCCACCTTGAGAGACAAAGAAGCCTGATATTTGTGTCACACAGCTGTGTTCACATATTCGCTTAAAATCGTATCACTTTCTCAATGCTGTGACAACACACCCAACAAAAGCAACATAAAGAGGTTATCTTTGCATAATAATCCATCCAGGTAGCACCAGGGTAAAGCAGTGGTCACACTGCGTCTACAGGAAAGAGAGTGAGGTAAAGGCTGGCACTTTGCTCTTTTTTTTTTTTTTTTAGCCTATGGGATGGTGCTATCCACATTATTTACATAGGCCCAGAGTATGTGTTTCTTTGGTGGTTTTAAATCCACCAAACTACCCATGAAAGATTAACCATCATGGGAAGCCAAGCACTCCTCGGTGTGAACGGTGAGTTTGAATGTAGTCATGCAAAGAACATGGAAAGCCTCACTACAGCTTCCCTTTCTAAGTGCTCTGTGAATAGCATCTCACCTAAGGATTCAGAAAACAAAGTCATCCACAAGTCCTAGAAGCCAGGCACACACCTTTAATTCCAGCAGCCAGAAGCTAAAAGGTGGTGGTACACACCTTTAATCTTAGGACTCGGGATTAAGAGGCAGACAAATCTCTGTGAGTCCAAGGCCACCCAGATCTACACGAGACTGGTCCAGTCCTAAAGAGAAACGGCTCACACAAAGACGATCTCAGCACGTGGGATTGTACTCCTTTAATCCCAGCTTTAGGGTGGTTTATAAGACAGGAGCAAGGTCAGACTCGGGCATTCTCTCTCCAATCAGACTGAGGATAGGAAAACATATCTTCTCCAGCCACACCGAAGATAAGAAGGCCCAGTGTCAAGGAGGACAGGAAGACATTGAAGTCTCAGAATTCTCCAGCCATGCTGAGGAGAGGCAGCAGTCTGAGACTTGGGGAAGAGCTTGTGGATCATCCCTTGCAGCCTGAGCTAGAGGTGAGAGCTAGCGGCCAGATGCTTTGCTTTTCCAATCATGACTTGAAGTTTGAACCCCAACATCTGTCCCTCCTCATAGGATGATATTCATCCTCTGAGGAGAATGGAGAGAGAAGCAACCACCCAGTTTTACATCCTAGGAAACTGGCCTAAGGTGAGTAAATTATAGCTTAGAGTTTGCTAATGGTAAGTGGTAAGCTGAGACTCAGGAAGCCTGCCTCTAGTCCACACTCAATGCCTCTGGTCATGCTGACCCTCATCAATGACAGAATGACGTCCACATATTACTCTTGTCCCCAGATTGACTGTTCATTGCCTGCTTTTAAAAACTGGAGCCGAGAAATTTTAATATTTTTTGTTGGCGGCTGGTGCAATGAACAACTTTGTCAATAGTTGAAGCTAAAGATACTGAAAAGGAAACAGCTTCCTTTGCTGGTTCCAAAATGGGTGCTCATTTTGTGGGTTCTTGTGGCTTACCAGGCTTCGGGACTCTGCATCTTAGGTGGCTTTTTGGCTCAGGGTTCAGCAGCGCTTGGGGATTGGCGACACTTAGCAACTACTTCTCCTTGTGTCCCTTATGAATGGAGTAACACCCATGAGACATTTCCCCGTAATAGCACCATACTTCTAGGGCATTCTGTCGATAGATTTCTCTGTGATTGTGAGCCGTAGCCACAGCCTCAGCAAAGTCTGGCTGTCGGTCCTAGGCAGGGCTGCCCCTCTGTCTGCTGGTCACCCTTCCACAGATCTTTTTGCCACCACTCCTTCCTAACTACTGTCTCCTACTAGAAGTTTCCACTCTCAAACTATCGTGTGGTTTTGGACCTGGCTAATACAGAAATAAAACCAAAGCCTGCCCTAGAGGACAGGGAAAACTCATGGGCATGATCAGGGACAACAGCAGCAATATGAGTCTGGAGAAACGGCCCAGGCACAATGTTTCTGGGTACAACTGGCTAATTCTAACTCAGACCATGTGAGGAAAAGTAGAGACTGTGGCTCACGTAGTGTTGGGGTCAAGTTGACAACACATTGTTTGATTCAGGGTTGTGTCAAGGTGGAGGAGCCTAGGAGGGGAAGGAAGAAGACAGAAGGGAGGAGAAGGGTATTGAAGAGGAGGGCGGGAAGAGGAAGATAGATGGAGGCAGAGAAGGAGAAAGATGAATGCCAACTATTGTAAGGGTCAGGAACGGTAGTGTGGGCCTGTAATCACAGGACTCCTGGCATAGGAGTATGGCAATTTAAAGACCAGCCTGGGGTAGATAGCAAGACCACGCAAAACAAGCAAGGATGCAGAGAATATTTAAAAGACACTCCAGAACAACAGCTGCAGGGAAGCAGATGGGTTCGTGGAATGGGGTGGGGGTTGGCAATTGACTATGGTACAGTCCACTGCCCTGGGTCTCACTGAGGGCCACCTTCCTCTTCCTCTCCAGTTCTCATGATGAAGCCCCTGGCCTCTTCACCAAGCCGTGGGGAGAGGCATTCCATACCATCTCCCAGGCCAGCCTACCTCCTTTCTCCAGCACACCTCAGGCTCTAGCCCTGACCTGCTTCCTGCAGCAGTGGGCGCTCTGAACATCAAAGAAACTTGTTTCCCCCACAGAAGACTTTCGAAGAGGCTCCCAGCCTGTGACTGTTACAGGGCCCTCAGACTGAACACGGCATTTTTTGCAGGATTTTCAAATAACTGTAAAGAGATCCACAGAAGCCAGATTTATCTGATTACAACAAAGTGGCCTAAACTTGACCATGTCCCCTGCTCACAGCACTGGACAAAGCTGCTGGACATGTCAGAGAGATGCCCTGCTACCCTAAGCAGAGTTCATGTCAAACTGAGCAGAACTTTCCATACATCAATGATGATTACTGTGGAGGAGTTTTGGTTTTAAATACATACATATACACATGCACACATACGCACATACATGTACATATGAACACATACACACATACACACACATAATAACACAAACATGTACATACACATATACTCACATCTACCCATACATGTATACACACATATAGGTTTTCAGCTAAATAAACCCCCTGAAGGTCTGGAACCCACATGAAATAGACCAGTTCACACAGAAACATAAGACTGGAACCTAGATAGTTTCAACCATTTCTCCTCAAAGCAAAAGACCTTTGCATATATCTTCATCTTGTTTATTTTACAGTGATCACATTCAATCAAAAATAACCAGAAATATCAAAAGACCAAATGACTGAAAAGCAGAGAGAGAGAGAGAGAGAGAGAGAGAGAGAGAGAGAGAGAGAGAGAGAGATCTATAACATGACAGCTGGAATCAGCAGATGTAAACTTTTATATACGCACCATTAATGCTGAAGAGAAGAGATTACGCGATGGATAATTTCATCAGAGCTGGAAGCTATTTTTAAAGTCACATAAGGGGTCAGTGAGGTGGGTGAGTGGATGAAGGTGAGTGTGTAAACCCTGGCGGCTTGAGTGTAGTCCTAGGGACCCATATGGTGGACAGAGAGCCAACCCCTTTCTAAGTTTCCTTGACCTCCACCTGCACACTGTAGCATGTGTCCACCCACCCGACACACACACACACACACAAATGTAAGTTGTTTTCTTGGTTTTTTGTTTGTTTGTTTGTTTGTTTTGAGAAACGGTCTCTCTATATAACCTCAGCTATCCTGGAACTCACTAAGTAGACCAGCCTGGCCTCGAATTCACAACGATCTGTCTGCCTCTGCCCCCCCCCTCAAGTACTGGGATTAAAGTGTATATCACCATTCCCAGATAGATAAATGTAATTTAAAAGTCACATAAAATTATAAAACTACTATGATCAATGAAACAAGGCTCTCAATTGTCAGACTTACCAACCAATTAAAGAGAAACAAGCAAGATTATGGAATAGAATATAAGCCAATTTAAAATATTTAGACTGAAGAAGAGCCAGAAGCTAAAGCACTCTCAGGCTGAGGTAACAGGATCAATGTGAGCTCAAAGCCAGCCTCGCTGTCAACTTGACTGCATTTGTAATCAACTAAAAGCCAAACAGCTGGGCACAACTCTGGGGGATTTTACTGACTGGATCCTTTTAGGTGGGAAGACCAGCCTGATCTGGGCCACACTCGTTGGCGGCAGCCCACATAATTAAAAGGACATGGAAGAAGGGAGCATTTGCTTTGCCCCTGCTTCTCTCACTGGTAAGTTCACCATCCTGCTGCTGTGGCATTCCTTCTCTGGATTAGAACTTACTTCTTCAGGATTCCAGAACAAGACCAGCTAAGAGATCCAGCCTCACGGACTAAACAGCTATCAGGTTCTTGGCCTCTCTGTCAGGGGACAGCCATTGTTGGACTAGTCAGACCGCAACCTGTAAGCCATTTTGTGTGTGTTTGTGTGTGTGTGTGTGTGTGTGTATGGGTGTGTATATGTATGTGTGTATGTGTGTGTACATGTGTGTGTGTGTTGGGCATAACATAATTACATATTATGTTAACAGTTATATGTTATGCACAATATATTAATGTATGTATTACAAGAGGATTTATTAGAAATATATGTTACACACAATACATATATATTCCCCCTCCCCTCTGGAAAACCCTAATACAGCTACAGAAAAAAAGAAAAAAAAAGCAGGAATTCTATACTTAACAAAAAATATCTTTCAAAAAAATTAAGACAGTTAAGCAAATACTGAAAATGTCACCATAAGATTTGTACTAAAAGAAAACTCTTCCAGGGAATTCTCAATATGCTTCTACACTGCAGTAAGAAAAGGTCTAACGTTAGTCCCAGGAGGAAAGAGAGACACAAGACACAAACTGGAAATATAAAAACAATTAACTTTGAAAGATGACAAAAGGCAAGAAGTAACATGGCTAACCCTAAATGAATACTGACTTTGTAATAATGCCTGCTGTGTTTTCAAATTCAGAGAACCGACCCCAGAAAAGACCAGCCTCAGGCAGGGTGGAGTGAAAGACAGTGTGGACTTGGTGTGCGCAGCGAACGGTGCAAGTGCTCACAAGGCAGGCCTCAGGCAGCCCGGAATCCTTACTGAGATCAGGGCACCTCTAAAACAAGGGACTCACTGAGACTAAATGGTTTGTTATCATTTGTAGCAGCAAAATAAAAACTGAGGAGGGAAGTGGTGGACTTACCTCAGGGAAGGCAGACCAATAGAAAAACTGCAAGATGCTACATTGTAACCAGGTGCTTGTGGGCAGGGGTTGGGTGCACGGGGGATGACCACCGTTATCCCAGCAAGCAGGAGGCTGAGGCAGGAGACTGCAAGTTTGAAGCCAGCCTGGGCAATGCTATGCGATGGTTAATCCTCACTGTCAACTTGACCAGTTCGAGAATCACCTAGAAGCACACCTCTGGGTGCATCCATGAAGCCTTTTCCAAGACAGCTAACCAGAAGGAAAGCTTCACCCTGAATATGGGTGCCACCAAAGTAAACGAAAGGAAACAAAGAGGCTGGGTGGGGTCAGCATTCCCCAGTCTCTGCTTCCTGGGACGCTAAGACGTGCAACACACCCCAGCCACTGAGACCTCTGCCGTGCACTCCCCATCATGAAGGACTGCACCTTCAGACTCGGAGCCTGGGTAAGTCCTCCCACCTCAAGCTGTTTCTATGGAGTCCTCTCCCAGTGGGAGATTAGTGACAAATGCACTCTCAAATACACAGAAACGCAACAACATCAAAAGGCACACTTAGGTCAAATACCTCAGACATAGCCATATTTTTAAATGACCTAATTTCTCTTTAACAATTCAAATATTGCATGCCCACTGTGGTGACACCTGAGGTGTAGGGATGTAGACAGGTTCAAACTGAAGGTATACTGAGAGCAACCACCAACCAGAAGGACCTAGAAGTAGGAAACGCATAGCTTGAGAAAGTATTAACAAAAGCAGCATATATTTTACTCGATGTTTAGAAACCAGAGACTTTCCTAACAGGGGAACAAAACAAGGATGTTTCCTCCCGCTCCTACTCTTCGGCTTCACACTGGGAGTGGTCCTAGCTAATTCAATAAGAAAACTCAATGAGAGGCATATAGATTAGGAAAATCGCTTTGTTTACAGGTGGCCTGAGTGCTGATGCAGAAAACCCCAAACCACCAACAAAGAAACTCCCAAAAGGAATAAACCCCATGGCAAGGCTGTGCCAGGAGCTTGTACACAAACGTGGAGGAAATGTTGGCAAACACTACACTGAACACAGGACTGTGCTCCAAAGCACATGAAGAACTATTGGGACAACATGAAAACAACCCTATTTTAAAACGAACCAGAGTTCTTCACAGACATCCCATGAAATAAGACATGCAGGCAGTGAGCATGCCCATCATATCCCAGTGGGAAAATGGAAGTTAAAACAGGAAGCCACCACACACCTGTCAGCATGGCCAAGATGGGAAAACCGACAACACCAAATGCCACCTAGGAAGTGAAAGGGGAACTCTCATCCACAGCTAACAGTAATGCAAAGCGGCTTGTGAAGCCTGCATGTCGGTTGACAGCTTCTTACGAAACTAATTATACTTTTGTTATAAAAAGAAACAATTGTGCTTCTGTATGGGCAGAAGGCAAAACTGGTGTGGATGTTTATAACAGCTTTATTCATAATTATCAAAGCCAGGCGCACTCCAGGTGCCCTTTGGTAAGCAAGTGGGTGGATGAGCTGTCACATGTCGAGACAACAGAAATCTACCAGCTGGGCATGACCTTTAATCCCAGCACTCAGGAGACAGAGGCAAGATCTCTGTGAGTTTGAGGCCAGCCCGCTCTACGAGGTGAGTCCAGTCCAGCAAGAATTAAATGAGCCATCTCCCCAGCCCTCAGACACTGTTTTAAATATATGTAGTTTAAAATTGTTTAGATATAATTCACAAACAAAAGAACTATCATTTTGAAATGACCCATTACATGACTCGTATAGCAGCCGATCCCTGTTCTCTCTCTCAGCCTGCAGCAACCATGAATGCACTTTCTGTCTTTGGATTTTCCCGTGCTATGTATTTCGTGTGTGGAATAATGTCATGAGTAGCATTTTTGTTGTGTAGCATGTTTTCAGTGTTATCATATGTATCACAATGTTGTTCTTCCTGATGGTTGAGTATTATTCCACTGTATACATGCATCACATTTTGTCTGTTAACCTGTTGCGTTGCATGTACTCCTTAGCCGTTAAGAGTTAAAGCTGCTGTAAATATTATCAAAGGTGGGTATTTTCTAAAGCCTGTATTTGATATTCATTTCCAGCAAGTTTTGCTTTTCTTTTCTTTGGACTTAATTTTTATTTACTTGTATGTGTGTTTGTATATTCGCCACACGTGTGCAAATGCCAGAAGAGGGAGCTGGATTCCTTGGAGCTGGAGTAAGAAGCAGTTGAGCCTTGTGAGCTGCGTGATGTGGACGCCAGGATCCCATCCAGACACCTCTGGAAGCCAGGGTGAGTTCTCCTTTCCCTTTCTGGCTGTCTACATAAACTGAGAATTGTCGCAACCTTTCCACAAGTTGCCCTTTTGCTCTTGTGAAATATCAACCTTTATTTCTCCAGTTTTTACCATTATTCTGCTAGATGACATTTCTATAGCCATTTTAGGTTCGAGCCAAACTAAGAGGACAACAGAGAGATTTCCTGAGTATCCCGTGTTTCCTGTCCTGCACAGCTCCCTGGCGAGCAGCACAGGCCTGAGGACCTGGCTGAATCTCCAGCATCTACGTTTTCATGTTTTCTCTTGTTTTGTCTGTAGGTGTGTCTGCGTGCTGCACGCATGCCTGGTGCCCACAGAGGCCAGAAGAGGACGTCAGATCCTCTGGAACTAGAGTTACAGATAGCTGTGAGCAACCATGTAGGCCTGGCGCCCATGTTTTAAAAGCCAGGCAGTAAGAAGATTGCTGGGAGCCTGCGGAGCTCTAAGTTCTGTGAGAAACCCAGTCTCAAGGGAGGCAGAGAATGACAGAGAGGGACACCCAGCATCCCCATTTGTTTGACACACATATGAACAGGCACATGCTCCCCACCACGTACATACACACACTCACACACATGTACACACAATGTTGTGGAGGTTAAGAGAGGGTGGAGCTGCAGCCCCGTGGGTAGAGTGCTTGTCTAGCATGCAGAAGACCCCGAGTTCCACCCCAGCACTGCCCACACAGGTCATCTCAGGCTCTGGAAGGTTGTGACAGGATGAGGAATTCAAGCTCATCCTCAGCCACACAGAGTGTGCGGCCATCTCTCAATTACATGGGACCCTTAAAAAAAAACAGAAGTAAAAGAAATATAAAATCTACAGTCATGGCTTGAGTTTTTCCTCACTGGTACTAACTGAAATTACTAATGAAAGATTTGAACAACCTATTGAAAACATGTGTGTATGTTCAAGTAGAAAACCATCAGGCAGCTACTAAGAGGGAGAAAAAAAGCCACCATGGGAGCTGAGGTGTGACTCAGTGACAGCACATGCTCCATAGTCTTACATGCAAGAGGCCTGCCTGCCTTTCAGCCCCGGCACCACAAAGAAATGAAATGAAGCCTTGAGAGCTGACTCCTCAGATGGACACAGCAGGAAACAGGCCGAGTTGTTTGTGACAGTGCCTCTGCCATGCCCTCGTTACACAACCCTGTCCTGACAGATGAGGAAGAGAGGAGCACAGAGCAGCATCCGAGGTCACCAGCTTGCTCCCCGCCTCCCTTCACCATGGCATCGTCCCTTACAGAACTTGAGATCTGACGGAGGGTTATTCACACACATACCCCCGTGGTGCTGGTAAAACTGAGCACGAGGCAAGAGTCAACTTACGTACGTACAGGCACCTACTGTACACCAGAGGCAAGAATCCAAAAAAGAAGCCGTGACAAGTTTTTGAGTTCCTGCTCCGGCTTGGGACTTGGTGTTGCAAACACCAAATTGTATTTATTGGTTTTTGCAGCCATCTGCCAGGCAGGAGCCCTCCTCCCCCATTCCACCGTGGGCTGACGGGAAGGAGACCAGAAGGCAGGATGAATGGATTTGGCTCTGAAAGCTTCCACCTTTGTGTGCTCACAGTCCCTGCCTCAGACAGGCAGAAAGCCTTAAGACCTAGGAGCCCTGGGCTATAGAGACTATTCAGCAGTTAAGAGCATGGACCACTCTTGCAGAGGACCTAAGTTTAATTCCCAGCACTCATGTGCACAGATCTGATTACAAGTAAAATATTCAAAAAAAAAAACCTAAGAGCAGGCTCGTGCCGGACGGTTCATCTTCACGGCAACCTTGTAAAGCCGGTGAGACACATGAAATGTTCACCATGAGCTCACCCCAAGCGCCCCGACCAGCATGGAGGCAAAGTTCTAGAGAGAATGTGAAAGGGCCACACCAAGCCTCCATGAGCCGAGCTGCTCAGTCATTCACCAAACACAGTTTTATTCTCATTATGCTGAAGGGTTCTCTGGCCAGATGACAAAGCACAGGCTCCCTTGATCAAAGTCAGTGACATTTCCTACCGTGGGTCAAGACAGTGAATTATTCCACTGAACAAAGCTGCCTCAGGGCGTGGCTGGGGGACTCCTTCACCTTGGATACAGAGAAAGCAAAGAGGATGTGTCTTACCCAGCAAGTCTCCTGCACTGTGCCATTTCAGGCCACCACAAGGCTCTACAAAGGGGACACACCAAGAAGGCAGTGCACCCAGCCATGGCCACACAGCCCTGGAGATGGCAGGTGTGCAAAACCAAGAATCCAGCTCACTCGCTGTGCCAGGTGACATATCGCCAAGGACATATGCCAGGTGACATATCGCCAAGGACACCTCAGCGAAGGGTCAGGGGTCAGGAGAGCACTTTGTGCATGAGGTAAGAATGAGAGACAGCATGATAAGCTGGAAATGGCCAGAGCCATCCAGTGACCCGGCTCAGACAAGAACCCCGGTCCATCATGACCTAGGTCTAATCATTCAACCACATTTGCTGAACAATTTGCCACAACTGGTGGAGAGGATAAGGCAACCGGTCCGTGGGACTTCTCAGACTTACTTTGTTCTGAGTAAGTCCAGGTCATTCACAAAGGGAAGATGGGTGCAGTGTTGGACCTTGAGGAGTTTACAGTTGACAGGAGAAAAACGGGATGAGAGAATATATCCCTAACAGGAGCAGCTCCACCAGGAAGTTCAACGGGACAGAAGCAGCAGAAGGGATATGGATTTGAAGCGTAAGAGGCCAACAGGGACAAATACATCTGCCAGTTCAGGGAAGAGTTCCAACAAAACCACGAAGGCTGGATCCTGAAGCTGGACCTTCACACCAGACGAGGGCTTTGGACATGGGGCTGTGGGCAGTCTTCAGACTCTTGGAGAAGCCTTTGAGCTCTTTATTCAAACTCAGAGAGTCTGATCACACTTCGTTCCAGAACAGCGGAGTGTCAGAAAGCACCACTGCTGATCTGCAGGGGAGAATCACCGTGGCCACGCAAAACCAGTCTGAGTCCCACCGACAAGGTCTTCTTTTCCAAGTGCCCCGTTGACGGCCACCAACTCGGTCTCCTCACCCCTGTCCTCCAGCCCTGTCATCTACAGCCCAGGCGCTGACAGCTCACTCGCTGTCTTGTCACTCACAAGCCTGGATGGACGGTAGTTCACGAGCTGGTTCACCGTTCCGAGACCCCCTCTCACACTGGAAGTGGGTGGGCTCATGATATCAGCAGCCGGGAGCAATTTGGACAGAGCAGCGTCCTCTCTGAACCCTGAGGAGTCGGCTGCAGGTCTCGGAGGGATCCTCCACCCAGGCTGCAGGCCCAGGCTCAGCCCCCAGACGCAGCAAGGCCAGGACAGCATAAGATGGCTTATTGGCATCTGGCATGCGCTTGGTGGCCCCATGACCAACATGACTGACACTCTCCAAAGTGTCCCCAAATGCTGATTTCATCTGAGCTCACTGTCCACCACACCAGGCTCCAGGCTCCTCCCCCACTTCTCGTCTTGGAGGAAGAGGAACATCTCTGTCCCTAGGTCACCTGGCCAGGAATGGGCAGCATCCTGTGCCAAGAATGTGTGCTTCTATGAGCTGGCAGGGGCATGGGACCCTTGCAGAGTCTGTGTGTCGGGTTCCCATTGACTGGGGGAGCTGAGAGGTCACCAGGAGCCGAGTGTAGTAGCCACCAAACACTGCCAGTAGCTGCCGAGCCATCTCCTGCAAGAGTGAGGGAAACAATGTGAGCACAGCAGACAGACCTGAGGGTGATGGGAGTTAGGCCCAGGAGAAATCCCAATCATCATCCTGCCCTACCCAGGAGGGATGCTCAGTGGGAAGAACAAGCCAGATCGTGCTTGGGGCTCTTGGAAGGTGCAGTCTGGCCAAGAACCCTCATTCTGCAGCTCACTGGAGCTGGCGTGGCCTTGGCTGCTTCATTCCCAAGGAAACCTTACTAACAAGACACACATCAACAGAGGGTTCTGCTCTGAGACAAACCATGCACTAGGCATGCCTGATGCCCTGGGTTCCATCCCAGCACGACAAATGTTAGTATGTCCCCAGAAGACTTGCAACCTAAGAGCACTGGAAAAGTATCACCCACCACCCCACCTACACCCTCTCTATACTTTCCAAAGCCCATGAATTTTTAACGTCCATGAGGTCAGACTGACTCACTTGAAGAAAATCACTAATGGGGGCTGGATGGGGAGAAGCATCCCAAGATAGGAGACCTTCAGTTCACATACGGTGCCTGGTAGGCATCTTTATATCGGACATAATAGGAGTTTGCTTATGAAAACTGATTACCACAAAGGAACAAATACTATGCATGAAGGAGGCAGTGGTCCCGGGTTCTGGGCGAGACAGAAGGAAAGCTAGTGTTGATGTGTGTGGGGTTCGGCAGAGGAAGCACTCTGAAGATGAAGATGGGAGGTGATGGAAGGTACGCAACAAAGACAGTGACTCTAACGTGTGTATCTCACCAAGATGAAGAAACAGAGCACAAAGAGAATAATTTTAAATTGGGTATCAGGAATTCTCTCTTAACACGTGTGGTCTCTAAAGTTCTGCTCACTGGTTGACCAGTTGGGATTGCAGGGGAGAGGCTTAAATTGTGTCCACCTAAATGTAACAGCATCTGGTGTGGGGTCCAGAGAGGCTGCATGTGTGGAGCCAGTAATTAAAACCAGGTGCTGAGATCAAGGACACTCAGGGATTCCAGCTTCTCCACCCTGCAGCTCACTGGACAAGTTCCTGCCTGCCTGAGACATCGTCCTCACTGGTGGTGTGCACTGTGGATGAGGCCACAGGAACAAAAAGCGTTCAGCCACGCTCAGCCAAATCACTGGATCCATCACCAATATTAAGAAGCAGAAGCCAGACTTGCTCCTGTAATCTAAGCATTTGGAGGCTCAGGGAGAGGGATCAGTATGATTCAAGGCCAGCATGGACTACATCCAGAGTTCAAGGCCAGCAGAGGCTACAGAATGAGACTCTGCCTCAAAACAACACAAAAACAGAATTATAAAAATACCCTAACTTGGTCCTGGATGAGAGGCAGCTCATCCCAAATGGCCCCTAGGACTGGCTTTTTCTTAAGCTGTCTCTTAAGCTAGGCTGGAGGACACGGAAAACGCTAATGGTGTGCCTCTCACCAGCTCATGCTGGCCTCATCCATTCAGCCCAGACACGATCAGTACTGTAAGAACCAATGCTCTACAGCCAAGCTGGTGTACTGAGGGGCTTCTGCTCTCTTCTGCCTTCTCCCTCATTCTGAGAGCCTGGGTCAGTCTCACTCTACCCAGCAAAGAAGGGAAGGTCATCCAGACCTCAGGGACACACTAACAATTCTTCACAGGACAAAAATCCTTAAAAATGTGAGAGGCTGTTCTGATTTCTTCCATCTGTCACAGACTCGGGGCTCCTCCAGACACAGGGTTGTCTTAGCTGCCCATTGAGACTGGGGTAGAGGCTATATTTTCCCAAACTAACTAATAAGCGACTTTCAAAATGTGCATACACATACACATTTGATATCCATGACAGGAAATTGTGTTTCTATGGGTTTGAGCAAATTTGAAAGAGTAACTTGAAAGGCCCATATTTAACTGGTTATTGCATGTCAACCCAGACACACAAGCCACTTGGATAAAGCATGTCATTTTATCAGCCCTTTCTGCTCAGAAAAAAAAGTGAAAGACTAACACAGCCACGACTTTCTCTCTTATACACCCCTCTGGGGAGCCCCGGAATCCCACCAATGCAAAAGAGGGAGGCTGGGTCAGGCTGGACCTCGATTCCCTAAAACCCCAGAATGAAAGGAAAATGCACGTTATCGCCACAGTTCCAAATACCACCTAAGGCCATTCCCACCACTTGGGCTGTCCTCATAGTTCACGGTCTGCCATCAAGGAACCAAACCCACAGCCCAAGAGCAGAACCTGGCAGGGAACCAAACCCACAGCCCAAGAGCAGAACCCGGCAGGGAACCAAACCCACAGCCCAAGAGCAGAACCCGGCAGGGAACCAAACCCACAGCCCAAGAGCAGAACCCGGCAGGGTTGGGGCTGATGGAGCCAGAACTGAAAGGATCACACACCAGACCCAAACAGTGACTAGGATTTAAGTAGGTGAGTAGGTGGATGATTGACAGGTAATGATAGGTAATGGAGATGGATGGAAGGATGGACAGACGGACAGACGGATGGATGGACGGATGGATGGATGGATGCACAGATGCATGGATGGGTGGATGAACAGATGAATGGATGATGATGGATGATGACAGAAAGATGAATGGATGGACAATGATGGGTAGATGGATTGATACATGAACATGTGATCGATCAATCAATCAACAGAATCTTTTTTCTTTGAGCTAGGGTTTCCCTGTGTAGTCCAGACTGGCTTTAGACCTGCAATTCTGCTACTCTCACCTCTTGAGGGTTGGCATTACAAGTATGTGTTACCAGGTCACGTCCAGCAACAGTAAGAGACCAACATTCATCTAAATGATGGCAGGCTATGACCCATCAACATGCAATGGTCCTTGCAGAGTAGCTATCAAAAAGGATGGCCAAGATATTTAAACATGCACCCTAAAGTCCCAGGAAGTACAAAGTAAATTACCATAAACTATTCTTTACAGTACTGGTGTAAAGATGAAGCCTGCCATCCCAGCAGCTAGGAGCTTTATGGGGTATGCCAATCTGGGCTACATAGCAAAACTCTGCCTCAGAAAAGAGAAGTGTCAGAATAAGTGAACACACACATTGGAGTGAACAACAACAAACAGAATGAAAAGACAGCTTTGATCTACAGGTTTTGAATGGTCTCTAGCAACTCCGAGAAGCTGTAACCCCAAGACCTGAAACTTGAGCCATCACTGGGACCATGACCACACAAGGGCCCACAAGGGAGGATCTCACCAACTGCTGTGGCACCATTACCTCCGGCTCAGCCTCTGGAACAAGCTGATAGAGTTCAGTCTGCATGAGTGGTCTTTCCTGATGACCAGAAGTGCTGGGCAGGAGGGGGGCATCCTCCAAATCTTCAGGTCCTTCCACCACAGGGCTCACTCCGGTCTCCATGACAACACATAGCTGGCTTAATCTGCTTCTCAGCAAGGACTACAAAGGAAACAGAGGGGACACGGGTGTGTTCTAAGTCTGGCAGACAGACTTTGACAGAGTGGAGCCAGCTAAAGAGTCGGACGGCTGACCTCTGTGAGCCATGCCAGTGAGATCATGCTATTCCCCCACAAAAGCAGGGTCCCGGATAGCTGCTGAAGGCATTTGCTCGTCACAATGTGCAATACAAGTATCTACACACGCACTCCAAGTGAACAAACTAGGGGACGAACCCAGCCTGAAGCCACAGGTTCTCACCAGCCAAGAGCAGGGTGCCACGGCAATCCTGACACCCCAGGGTACTGAGATCCCAGGAAATGACTGATCCTAGGAAAGGTGCTGGCCATCTTACCTCTTGGCTCCTCTTCATTTCTTGAACATGGTCAGACAAAGACTGCACACAGTTCTCCAGGTCGAAGTAGACAAACCAGAGCTGTGGAGAGAAGCAGCTGTGGCCTGTCCTCAACCCCGAGTCTGCCCTCCAGGTCCTGCTCTTCATCCAGGACCCGCCCTGCTGACACCCACCTGACATGGCCTGCTGTCTGGCAGGACCAGTGTGACCGCAGCCTTGCAGTGGGGACATGGTGGTACTGGAAATCGAACCCAGGATAGAATGCTAGGTGGGCACACTATCACTCAGCTACATGGTCAACCCCCGAAAGATGGCATTGCAAGCCAATTCAGAACATGTCCAACCATGAACAAAATGGCTAGACCCCATCTCCCACAGAGCACACAAAAGAAAAAAGTCCTCACAGATGACATCTCCACCAACTAGGACCGAATTCCAAGATGTTCTCAGTGGAAGGGATGCAAGTGAGAAAGACATCTGGTTCACACCCTCAACCTCTCCTTCCACCTCGGCCTCAGCAGCCCCCAGGCCGGGTTATCCTTACTAGGCTAAAACCTTCCACATTCATCGAGATGCCTTGATGGTACCACATACGCAAGAATCAAGCTCTGCAGGAAAGCAGAGTCCTGAGTCTAATATCTGCATCCTCCACTTTGCTCCCTGCTCAGGGCAACTGACCCACAAGACCAAAGATCACAGCCCGTCAGATAGCCCCCAACTAGCTCACCCCCAAGGAAGATCTGTTCACAGACCTTTTTCTTTCAATCTTTTTACTGTGAAAACATTTTCACAGGAGATGAGACAACCCCATCAACAGCTCACTCCATGCCCACCCCTGCTGCACACATCACCCAGCACCCCTAAGGATTCTGAAAGATCTCAGACATTGCATCACCCCATTCCAAAATGCCACTGTGACAATGAAAGACACCACTGTCTGAAAAGATGTGTCCTTCCTTAGTCACCTGAATACAAGATCCAGCCACATTCCGGGGTCCCTCCTGCATGACAGGGATAGAGAAAATTCCAGAGATGCAAAGGTCCCATTTGAACTGCCAGGAATCTTGGGCCAATACCCCAGGCAAGATAACTTTACATGCCATGCTATCCCAGGTGTGACCAGCTCCAAAACACTAGGACCTCTGTGTCCCCAGCTCTTAGGACCTGTGTGTCCCCAGCTCTGCCCAGAGAACAGTGTCTGGCAGTTGAAAGCTGTCAGCAAACATCCATCAGATGTGTAGAAGGCACACCTCCAACCCCCCCCGTGCACACACACTAGGCATCCCTGGGTATCCCCGAAGCAAAGGGCTGTGGGGCCTGTGCATGCCAAGGAAGCCTGGGCTGAGGCCAGCTCTGCTTCCTGACTACGAGGTTGTGCCCCTTCCCTAAGTGTTGCTGTCTTCAGTTGTAGACTAAAAGTAAAGCACACCCCTGCCCCACAAAAAAACGGAGGTGAGATCTTACCAAGACTACAGATAAAACATTCAACTGTACTGAGCCCTGAGCATGGGCAGCCAGGATCAAATCCAGCCTCAGCCATGTCCCTTGCATGACTTCCTACTTTAAGATTGCTGCACTGCCTTGGGGACACAGAAAACCACTGAGCATCACACAGCTCCCCCCCCCCAGCCTCATCTCTCCTGTCATGTCCCTTGGCTGTAGCTTTCACCATGAGCTTATGAGCTTTCACTGTCCCTTTAAAGCCACCGTGACTGTATGTACGGGTATTCATGGGCATGTATGCTCATGGGTTCGCAGGCTCACACTGCACAGGGACTCTGCAGAGACTTTGATTCCTACAACGCCCAACTGCAGGGTTCAGCCCAGAGAAGTCCCGAGGGAGACACAGAAACTGGGATGGGGAGGGGGCCACTCACAGAAGCATAGCAGACCCTGGACCTCACAACGCAGGCCACCAGGAGAGGTCACTCGGGAACACAGTACCTGGATCACGCTCCGGCACCCTTCCACGGAGTCAGTCACCCCCAGCAGCACCCGGTGTCTCAGAAGGGCTCCATTGGTGGCCACCAGTCTCAGGTCTGTGTTAGTGTTGGCCTAAAAGACAAGTTCCAAGCCCAAGGCTGACCTCCAAGGAGGTTTCCAAGGAGCTCCTCAGCCCTGCACATCACAGTTATCCCTCTCCCAGAGGCCACACATCAACCTTCACGCTCAAGACAACTCTATTTCCCCCCTAGGATGAATTCAGTGTGAGAGAGCTTGGACTAAAGCCTGGCTCTGCTGTACTGCCCATGTCCCTCCTCTGAGTCTGCCTGTGTTTGGTTGTAGATTAAGAAAAAAAGCACACCCCTGCCTCCCAGGAGTAGAGAGCCCACTGAGTTGTGAAGGAAGTCCTTAGCCCAAGGCTAGATGAAATCATAACGTAGTGGACCTCTGAGGAAATTCGAGGGACAATCTATTCTATGTGGAAAGAATCAGCCCTGTTAACAACACACCTGCTTTTCCCCCTTTTTCTTTTTTGAAACAGGAACTCAAATTTAAGATCCCCAGGCTTCCGCCTCCAGCAAGCCAGTAGTAAGACATGTTCTACCAAGCCACAGGCTAACAGGCCCACTTATGCTAAAGGCCCGCCTCCTGCTAACAGGCCTGCCTCCTACTGCTAAAGGCCCACTTCTAAAGCTCCCAGCACAGCACCTGGCTCTCAGAGAAGCTGTTTCCTTCAGCTCCCACCCACACCAGTCAATGTCGGTTTTGCAGCAGGCAGCCACCAAGGAGATCAGAGAGAGGAGTGACAGGACCCAAAGCATGGCCTGGGAAGAGACCCTCAGAGTCTCTGAAGCAACTACCGGACCAGTAGAAGACCAGGGCTCTCCAAAGCAGTGGGCCCCCACAGGACAACTGGAAATGCACAGGAGGGGCTCTTTTGCAGGGCCCCACAGAGACAGAGAATGCTGGCACTCAGCAGGGTGGCCAGCACAGGCCTACCACTGGAGGACTGGCCTGTGAAAAAATTCTGCATGCCACTGACCTGTCCTCTGGCCTCCCTGGGCATGGAAGGGGTAGAAAATGTTTCTAGAATTCTCAAGCATGTCATATTAACTCCACTGCACACACCACCGGGACAGAGCTTGGGCTCACCAGGGGTCACAGTGCACTGGTTGCCTCCACTGGCTTTGACCAGAATTCTGGTCAGTCTTGCTCACCTGTTCGGAGACTCACTGAGAGTTCAGTTCCTGACCCTGGCCTCATTGCCTGTGTCATCCTGGGCAGGTCGTATACCTCCAAGTCCTCATCCTAACCCAGAGATGGAGACTCCCGATTTATGTGCCTTAATATGACAAAACGAGCCCCTGCACGTGGCTCACTCAAGGGTGGACATCCCGTCTATGCTGGCCAGGAGAGTCACTATGACAGGGGACCTGGCCTGAAATGCCATACTTTCCGGGTCACACATGGGCATCTCTAGGGAGTTCCTGGCTGTGTGCTGCACTCTGGGGTTGGACATGAGTCAGAGTCTTCTGTTCTTGAGAAAGGCTAACCACTCACCACATGAGAGGAGAAGACAATGGAGAGGGCATGAAATCTTGAGGCTGTTACAGATGCCAAGCAATGCAGAGAAGGTACTAATCCTGTGAGGGTCACAACCAGGAAGGAGAGGTCTGCGGGGTCCTGATAAGAAATCCCTGGGGCCAGCTGTGCACTTGCACTGAGCAGTGGTCTGGGGATTCGGGGCGTGGGGACAGGTGCTTCTCCAGGAGCCCAAAGACAGCATCCTGAGCCAGGCAGAGTGATAGCCTCATCCAAGCCCCTTCCCAGAACCTGAGAATGCACTGTTACACAGCACAGTGGACCAGAGCAGAAGCTGCTCAGCTGACCTTACACCAGGGAGGGGCTCGACACACCCAGGTGGAGCCACACAACCATGGGACACTGGAAGAGGCAAGAATCTCCGCCCCAGGGACACTCCCAACCACGGGGTTCTACAGAAAGAAGTTCATATCCGCTACAGCAGCACTGGACGCCACACTAGGTGCTAAGTGGGTGACCTGAGGTAAGCAGTCAAACCTTGAGCTGTAGCCTTGTCTCTCAGCAACAGTGAGGACCCCTGCTCCCTGTCTGTAAAGGCCTCGGTCCAGTCACAAGGCGCTTCCATGGACAGCTCTGACAACCTGCCATCCATGAAAGGGTTGGTGTACCGCACAGGCACACATGAACACTAATCCAGTGAGGGGCGCAGCGAGCTGGGACGCAGGGATCTCTTCTCTAAAGGCGAACAGGGATCATAAGCTTAGCTTTGAACCCTGGCTCTCCACTAACGAGATCCAGGGCAAGTCCCCTAACTCTCTGAGCCTACTCCCCGCCTCTCGGGTTGCTACAGAAGTGAGGCCTGGATGTTAGCCCACCCACAGAGGAACAATGGCACCAGCTCCCCAGCCCCCCTCGGCTCCCTGACAATCACAAGGTATTGTGCAGGTCCAGGGAGAGGTGTGTGAGCAAGCTCAGCTAACTAGAGTGCTGCAGGAACGCTGGCTACTGGAACCTGCTCTTGAAACAGCTAGCTTGGGGGGGGGGGACAATCTGCAGGGCTGGGTAAGAAAACAAAGACAGAAGAGAGAACAAAGAGCCTTTGCTCCTTGGCCAAGAGGCAGTGGCTTTGCACACCACACACAATTGCCCCAGGGAGAGCCAAAGCCACAGGGCCAGCAGACAGTGAACCAAAGCACTTGAGGAGACACCGGGAGAGGAGGGGAGGAAGAACAGAGCGGGACGGCCTGTAACCCTTGCACTTAGGAGAAGGATGGTGAGTTTGGGGCCAACCTAGGCTACACAAGAAGACCCCACCTCGAAAGAACAAGCAAACAAAACAAGATCAACATGAGGTGGCGCTTGCCTACAATCCCAGCACTCAGAAGGCAGAGGCAGCCAGCCTGGTCTACATAGCAAATTCTAGGTCATAGGCCTACATGGTAAGAACCTGTTGAGGGAGAGAGAGAGAGAGAGAGAGGGAGGGAGGAGGGAGGGAGGGAGGGAGGGAGGGAGGGAGGGAGGGAGGGAGGGAGACAGACAGACAGACAGAGAGAGACAGAGACAGAGAGAGAGAGAGCAACAGAGAGGATTTAGCTTCACACATGACCCTCTCTCTGCTGGTCATGGGTGTGCAGCCATGAGGGTAGTTGAAGGAGCTGCCTGCCTCAGAATTAAATGTCGGACTGCCCAGCCCTATGGAGGGGACAGACAGGCCCCCAGACGTCTCACCTTTCTCTGCTGCCTCTCGAAGACCAGCACAAGGGTCAGGGTCAGGCTGACAGCAGACAGAGTGGCAAGCAGCACGCCTGCCCACTGGCTGCCCAGGGCAAACATTTGGCTGGTGGAGTATATGTTGGCCCACACCACCACATAGAACACCTGCAGAAGACAGAGGAAGGTGTGGCGTTGTCAGGGACAGCAGCTCCACTCATGGGCACCCCTTTGGGTCAAACCGCCACAGGGGCCAGGAAGACTCCATGCCAACCCTGGAACCTGAGCTCCTACTCCCTGATTATTAAGTGAATCTTGACAACAGGTTCTAACTGGCCTGGCAGAAATGAGGATATTCTAGAGAGACACTTTTGTCTCTCAGTCTGATTGCCAGGCTGTTGAAACTATGGACCCCAGAGAAGCGGGGATTCTGCTAGGAGGCTCATGCTGGGAAACAGCAGCAGCCAGAGGGTGACTTGCCTCCCAGAAAGAGACTTCACAAGGTTCACTACAACTGCTCACCTCACCGGATGAGACTGAGACCCAGTTAAAGATGAGCCAGTGGTCAGAGGGCCACATCTGGACCCCAATGCCCAGATGTGCGGGGTCTTGGCTATCTACTTCAACTTTGCCCTCCCTTCAGGACCTCTGGGATGCTTGCCGGGTCTCCTTGTCACTCTTTCCAATGTGGCCACATTGGGTAGATCTCCTTTTTCTGCAATCCATTTTTATTTTGGCTCTTTTTGTTGGCCTATTGAAGATGGGTAGCCATACCTGACTTGGGGTGAAGTTTGTGACCCCTTACGTTTGACCCCTCACTCCTAAACCCTCCTGACCCCAATTCTAAATGAGACACAAATGGGCAGGGCACTCCGGAAGGAACTCTGTGTCTAAACCCCACAGTAACCTTTGCCTTGTGGTATGGCTTGGGATAAGCTACAGTACCTCTCTAAGCCTCAGTTTCCCCACCTGTGAAGTGGGAATAACCATGTCTACTTCAGAAGGCTGTTCCAAGACTAACAGGGTAATATTTCATGGCCCAATATTTGTTAGGGAGTTGTTAAAAGCTAGTCCCACTTCTCTTTCTCCCCTGAAATGGGCCATAAACACATACAGAAGCCAGAAATCAGAAATAAGGGTTCAGCTGCAGGACCTAGATAGCCTGGGTTCACACAGGGTTGGCCATGTACGCACATGTTTCCGTGTGTGAATATGTAGTCACAGGTCCATGCTTGCTAGCATATCCACATACAGGAAGGTACCTGTATTTGTGTGTGTGTGTGTGTGTGTGTGTGTGTGTGTGTGTGTGTGTGTGTGTGTGTACACTATACATACAGGAAACATACCTATCTGTGAACAAAAGGAAAACCAAATCCCAAAGAGAAAAGTCTTGGCCAAGGGCAAACACTGAGTCAGGAGTCTGGTGGTCTACAGATTCCCAATCCCAACCCCACTGACCCTCCCACACCAAATCCATGTCTTTGACACCAGGCTTGCAAAGGCAGCCGGATTCCTCCTCCCCAGGACACACTGCTGATTTGATGTGCCTCAGGCCAGGGTGGGAGACAGAGTGAGCCTAACCTACTACTCACAACAGCAAAGGCCAGACGCATGGGCCTGGAGTTGTAGATGATGTATCTCCTCACTTGAGGTTCCAAGAGGGCACTCTCAGCCAAGTTCCTGTATTGCTCAGCAGGGACCTATGTTACCCAAGATAAAGAGGTCATCAGTAACAGGACAGCCACGCCCCATCTCCTTCCTGACAGCAAGCATGACATTCCCAGTTCACAGACTGCCCATGGGCGGAGGGTAAGGCAAATTTAAGACGCCTTAGAGGGCTGAAGGGAGGCTCGGAGCATAGACCGGGAATCCTGCAGGGATCTGAGAACCAGGGCATCCTACAGAGGAACGACACCGCCCGAGTCTTGGTACCTTCCAACAACCATAGGTAGCCCTGGGCCAAACTCTGGTCACGTCACTCAAAGGAACCCTCATCTCTGAAGCTTGGGTCCCTCGTCTCTAAAATGAGGGAGGGGTGAGGCACTGTAGGGCTGGGTGCATGCTCAGTGAGGTGGCCAAGGGTACTCGGCAGAGTGAGAGTCACACAATAAGCACTGGCACTCAGAGCCAGCCTACACACAATCCCAAGCACTGAACCATTCCGGCTCCTCGGGACAATGTGAGCACTGGCACCAGGTCCTGCTCATCTGCACAGTTTAGCCAACCCAGGGCCTGGACAGAGTGGCCACCCCCAATACACACATTCTGAGTGAACACACTGGGAAGAAGGGACACTTCTTAGATAATGTTCCTGTGCACCTGACCACGGCCAACACAGGTAAAAGGTAAAGAAACGTTTGTGACGAGACCAGTGGAAGGACAGATGGCCAGGTGGATAGAGAAGAGCACAGACTCAGTCATCCGGCGCTCACCTGAATGAATGATCCAGACTCAGTCAGTCAGAGCTCACCTGAATGAATGACCCAGACTCAATCAGCCAGAGCTCACCTGAATGAATGACCCAGACTCAGTCAGCCAGAGCTCACCTGAACGCCCCAGGCCTGCAGTTGCTCTTCTACAGCTCCCAGGTCGAAGGAGATGGGTGCACAGGTATTGTCTATCCGGAGGACTGTGAGGACCTGGCCATTGTGCAGCTCTGCAATCAGATGGGAGCATCAGTGCGCCAAGCAGGAGCACCCCTGGGGGAGTTCAGAACTAAGGCATCGCACCTCAGGCTGGGAATACCTTCTCGTGATGAGGGACACGGTAGCTGTCCCAATCGCAAAGGACGTAGCTTGACTGGGAAGCCCCCAGAAAGCAAAACTAAGGCTCACACTGGTTAACTATATAATTTATAACTTTCCAAGGCAGAAAGCCATCCCACAAAGAATGGGTGGCCGTGAGTGCCCTGTCACAAGGCATACATAAACAGAGGCTGAACAACCAACTACATTAGGGGCTTGACGAGACAGATGTTTGGTCAAGCCCTGTCCAGGAAGTTCAGCTGAAGAACTTAAATCCCAGCAAAGAGCCAAGTATCAGATCTAAATAGTTACCATGAAACATCAGCCCCCAGACGGCCACACCTTCATCCCCGGACTATGCTGCCAGGCCGTATACGGAATGCAGGCCACTGTCAACTGGCCTTAAGTGGGGACAGCAGCTTGCAGTACCCAGTGGGGCTGACAGAGTCACGACAGTCTCTGAAAGGCGGCAGGGCACAGAGAGAGCTACACCATTGCTAACATCCACCACAGGAGGAGGAGCCTCAAGCTAAGCACTGCGGGTACTCTGTACCACGGGGAAGGGGAAGGGGAAGGACACAGAGCCTTGTTCAGAGCCCCCAGAAAGGAACACAGCCCTGTACTGTGAGCTCAGGGAGCCGGTCACCGGGCTTCTGACGGCAGAATTGCTGCAGGGATACCATGGCAGCTTTCAAGCCCTTGTGTTAAATGTCAAGCATCCTCTGCCTCCATGTAGAGCCTCCATCACACTCAAACATTGATCTTGCCCCCCAATGCCTCATCTGAATACATCAAGAGTGGGTATGTGTGTGCAATTGTCCAAATCAAGCCCTTCCTTAAGGCTGGTCTGTTCATCACGGGGTTGCCTGAGCTGGCTTAGTGCCTTGCACACATGTGTGACACATAAATGAACATGACAGGACTCTGATCCTCAACCTTGATAGCACTCTTTTCTCATCCCGAGACAGGGAGGGCGAGCACCTCCAATCTTAAAGACTCTACCACAGAATTCTAAACTCTAGGTTCTGTGCAAAAGAACTTTCCATTTTGTTCTCTCCCCTCTCTTTTTGAAAGGAGTATGGTACACAGATAAAATACAGGTCAGATAGGAAGGGATCAAACTGTGACCCAGGCTATCCCTAACAAGGTAAACATGTAGGAGAAACTGTTTTCTTACCTACCAATGGTCACAGCCACCACAGGAGACCGTGAACCATTAGGATGACAGCCTGGATGTCACCTCAAGTGGGTGAATTACTAACCCCAGTGAGGCATAATTTGGAAGCAAGTTGTTCAGAACTCAAAAGTCCTGATGAGACCGCACTACCATGTCTTCTACACCCACCTCATACTTTAACAAAAGTGTAAGATTAAACTGAAAATAACCAGATGGAAAGGGGTAGACAGAAAGGAAACAAAGGCGCTAAGAAGACCCCTGTTGGAGAACTGGAGCCCTCACTATGCACTTGCTCCAAGAGTCCTAAGAGGTGGACACTGTTTGCATGGAAACAGAAGCCAAACCTCTGGAAAGCAGAGGCGTTTACACAGATGCCGCCAGGGTAGGGGAGTGGAACCAACAAGAGGAAGAGGCAGTGCCCAAAACACAGCCACCATTCAGTGGTGCTCTCCCCAGGAGACTCGAACCTTCAGACGGCTACACCCTGGGCTCACGAGCATTTGCCCAAACACTGCAGAGACCTTTCACCCTGGGCTCACGAGCATTTGCACAAACACTGCAGAGACCTTTCACCCTGGGCTCACGAGCATTTGCACAAACACTGCAAAGACCTTTCACCCTGGGCTCACGAGCATTTGCACAAACACTGCAGAGACCTTTCACCCTGGGCTCACCAGCATTTGCACAAACACTGCAGAGACCTTTCACCCTGGGCTCACGAGCATTTGCCCAACACTGCAAAGACCTTTCACAGAGTCTCTTGTTTGACTTTCTACTAGGAGTTCCTGGATTCTTGGCAACGTGATCTCTCATCTGTTGCTGAAAATGAGAACAGCAAGTCCTCCACTAAGAAATACCTGCTTCTAGACCTAAGCTGAGGGAGAGGGAGAGAAAGAGAGAGAGGGAGAGAGAGAGAGAGAGAGAATGCACAAAGAAACAAAGAGGGGCTTGCTAAAATTCAGCAGAGTGACGCCTCGCAGTACTGAAGGAAAACATACTTCATCCTGTTCCTTTCTTCTGCAGCATGTATAGTATTTAAGTTGCTTTCCTAATAACACTACTGCAGCATGTATAGTATTTAAGTTGCTTTCCTAACAACACAGTCATATACCCTTTTTTGAGCACTGAGTTTCAGACCCTCTATGTAAGCCCCACATTCCCTACAGAACACCCACAGTTCACAGTGCTGTTTCTCCTTGCTACACCCAGCTACCGTCATCCCTTCATTCAGCACAACACTGACTCCATGTCTCCCACTGAGCAGACCTCCCGCTAGCTCTACAGACTATGGGTGAAACAGTACAGAGTCCTACCCTCCCTGAACTTACATTCTGGTAGAGAGGCTGGATGCTCAATATTTATCAAATAGATAATTGGTATACTAACTAAATTCTTTAGGGAGAATACACCAGAAAATCTCAACTAAACCCAAGCCATCAAATAATTTGCCATGGGAAGGAAGGATGAATGGAAACCAAGCACCAAAAAAGTTCTGGTAGAAAGAATATCATGTACAAGTCCTGAGACAGAACACCTTGGCAAAGAGCAGAGAACAGGGCGGCAGGAGGTTCCAAGGCTAACCTGGTGAGAGAGATGTTTCCATGCCCAGTGGGAGGCCTGACTGGCACCGGCTACAGATCCCAAAAGAGAAAACAAACTAGAAAGTGATGTTCAAGCTTAAGGTGGTGACAGGAGGCGGTGATGTTGGGAACGGGGTAGACATGAGGGAAAGCGGCCTGGAGCTGAATCCCAGAGACCCCAGTTACAAGGTGAGTTCAGCACAGAAGGGGACACAGGGAGAAGGGGAACACCGGTGGGGTAATCACGGTCTTACCTTGCCCCCAGCCAGGAGGGCTCCTTTGAGGCAGGGTGCCGCAGCCCAGGACAGAGGTGGGCAGGGGACCAGCTGCCCCACCAGGGTCTGCGGGAGGCTCACAGGCCATGGCAGGCAGACAGCTGCTCTAGCTTCTACTTCCTGTTCCTGGGGGTGAGTTCATGCTGGAGCAGCCTCTCACCACCGCTTGCCTCTGAAAAACAGCACAAGGAAGAATGTTCCCTGCGGCCAGAGTTGCTAAAGGCCAGGGTGGTCATTGGGAGGCTAAATGCTGACTTTCCGATCTGGCTGAGGAAATTCTTTCTCGGAGGGGAGAGAAGGAACTAAAACCTTGCCCAGACCTCAGCTGAGAATTCCCCTGCTAGCCATGGATCTTCTCCAGCTCAGCCATACCAGGCTCTACTCATTTCTTCCTGAGATGCCCAGGTAAGCAAGCCTGAGGCAGGGATTACGTTCATTATGGGGAGGCCTGTTTATACCCAGTTTCCTACAAAGCACTGCAAAATGCACAAAACGAAACCAGGGAACAGGAAGCACAGATTACAGGCAGCGTCCTGACAATCGTGAAGAGGAGAACTAGCAAGATGTCTGGGCCCCATTCCAGCTCCTTAAAGAGGGGAGGTCCATGTTCAGGGCTCAACACTGTGGCCCCCTCCCCTCCTGCTGCTATTTGTGTAAACTTGGATACATGGCTTAACCTCAGAGCTTCAAACGGGTTTCTTCAAATCGGGTAGCCCTCCCCCGCAGCAGGCCCGCTACAAAGAATCAACAGACAGTCCACAGGAAGGCTAGGGACAGAGGTCACACTTCAGGAACTCTTTTAACCCTTTAATGCCAGCACTCTAGAGACAGAGGCAGACAAATGTATTTGAGTTTACCAGCCTGATGTACATAGTGAGCTCCAGATCAGCCAGGGCTAGGAGACCCTGTCTCAAGAAAAAAAAACAAAAACAAAAACAAAAACAAAACACCTCAGTCCAGGCTCACGACAGGGACCCCTGCTGATAATCCCGGCACTTAGTGGTACAGGGATAAGAGACAACAGGATCAAAAAGTTCACTGCAAGCCTGGGCTATGCAGTGAGTTTCAGACAGGTGTAGGCTATCAGGAAAACCCTGCCTCATTAAAAAGAAGGACAGTTGCTCCTGGTGTGGCTGTTTATACACAGTTGCTGTAAGTGAGGCAAGGCTTTGATCTTTGGGGCTTCCTGGTGGCCAAAGCTAACACAGATAGACACGTTGGCAGCTAAACTCTTATCTGAGAAAAGCTCTGGCTCTGCAGTTAGCTCCAAAGGGTCATGGAGACATGGCCAATGCCTCCACCTCACGTGACCCAGAGGCACAGCAGGCATCCCATTTAGCCACTTTCATCAGCGAAAGCAGGGATGCTTCTTATCAGGCTCCCTTGGTGACTTCCTGGGTCACCCCAGTGTTCCTAGGGTGAGATGACATGGCAGCAAAATTACAGTTAGAAAGTGGTTGGGGGTCACCACAACATGAGGAACTGTATTAAAGGGTCACAGTGTTAGGAAGGATGAGTCTAGACGGTACCTTGGGAGCTTCTTCTCCCAACAAAGAAAGATAAAAGATGGATATTAACAATTTTCACCCTGTCCTACATGGGAGCCTAAGGCCAAAAACAAAATGTTAGGAAAATACTGAAAGCTTTGGAGCCAGAAAGCTGGGGCGGGAATCCGTGCCCAGCCATTCACGTGACATTCACCTTCAACACTCCACGCCACTGCACCTCACCCACTCCTGTGCCTCAACTCTACTGTGAGCATCTGTACAATGGGGGCATGGAGGCCTGAAGACAGCCAGCATACGCATAGTGTTCAGTGCTCTGCCCACAGCCCAGCTTCCTCCTCTCCTGTTTCAGAGTCAAGCGCGCCCTCTCCAAAGCCGAGAAGGACTCAGAGTGCGGCTCCAGAGTCTCGGGCCACAGTACCTCTAAGCCTGGCCCGGCTTCCTTCCAGCTTGCTCACGAAACCACCTAAGACATGTTTCCCAGCATGATACAGAAATAAATTCCAGTCACCCTGCACTACTCCCCACGGGAGGGCAGAGTTTCGTCTCCGCTCATCCTCAAGCTGGCCCACAGCAACAGTCTCGGACACGCTGGGCACTCGCCAGCTACCTCACCATGCCTGTTTTCCTTCTTATACCCCCAGAGCTACAAAAGCCACAGAAACAGCCACAAGGTTGTCGGCTTCCTCAGATCAACTATCTGCACTCCCGGCAGAGGACTCACATCTGCCTCGAACCCTGGAGTTTTGAAAAGGCCAGGAGGAGCTGACACGGACTGGAGTTGCTGAAGCCTGGGACTGCACAGGACTCACTGGTTACAAAGTCCCACAATGGAGCTTTGTGTTGGGGGCAGAACCACAGCACCCACATCAGCCCCTCAGCTGCCCACAGAGACCCAATCAGCAGACTCCGGTCATCCGCTCAAGGCTGCATGTGTTGGATGGCTAAAAGCAAAACCAAACCACGTCCCACATAGGTGGCCTTGAGCAACTTACTGGACTTCTCTGTGCCTCCAATTCCTGGAGTGAGGGCAGGGAGAGTAATTTAGGATAACCCTTCGTTCCATGTCCACAAGAGCTGCACTTGGAAGAGTGTGGCAGAAGGTGGTGGTCATCAACCTATTCCACAAGCATTCTTGAGAACCTTCTAGGGCCAGACCCCGACTGTAAAACCAGGAATGCAACAGGAAATCTCTGCTCGGCCCTTCCTGCAGGGATCACCACCCACTGGGAAAGACAAAGGCAGAGACAACTGCCAGAGAGATGAGGAGGAAATCAGGCAGCAAAGGGGACCAACTTGGGAGGCGGGACTCCTGGTCTGCCTAGACGCTTCACCAAAGGAGCCTGAAAGGAGCCACTGCAAATTTGAATACGTTCAGACCAGAGGTCGGGATGGGTCCAGGGCTCCCTTGTGGATTGCTCCAGCCCAGAGGGAGCAAGCACTGAGGCTCCTGACGGTCCCTTGGGGAGTCCACACGTCAACCAGTTTCCAGTCTCTGGCTGTGCAGACTCAAGCCCCCAGAGGTCCCATCTCTGCACAGAGCCTGCCAGCCTCACCGACAACTAAGCGCCTGCCAGGCTGCCCTGAAAGGAAAGAGAAAGCCGCTTTCTTTCTTCAAACTCAGCTTCATTATACTGCAAGTCCAACAGATCAGAGGGGCGACAGTCCCAAAGTTCAGGACAGAAAAGCCTGGCTAGACAACGAGTCTAAACGCCCCATTTCAAAGATGCGGACAGTAAGCCCCGGAAGAGAAAGCTGAGTACCCAAGGTCAAGGAGCAAAGCCCAGAGGGAGCCAGAGCAGAAAGCCGGCTGAGCGCGGCCGGGCGCCTCCCTTCGTACCTGGCCTTGGCCTCGGGCAGCTGGATCCCCGTCTCTGCCCTCAGGCCTCAGGGCTCCCTCACCCGAGGAATCGCCCTTCCCACCCCGCAGCTCCCACGCCTGAGCCTCAGCGACGGGACGCGCACGCAGATCCCGCGGCCCCAACCCCCGAGCGCGGGCGCAGGGGCGCGCGCACGGCCCGCGCACACTCACCGCCGCCCGGGGGCGCGCAGGTCGCAGGCTCCGCCGCCGGCCTTGAGCGCCACAGCGTCCCGGTGCCGCCGCCGCCGCGCGCCCGCCGCCCGCGCCGGGCCGAGCCGGGAGCGTTTCATCAGCCGCGCTCCCCTAGGGCTGCGGAAGAGGCCCCGCGCCCGCCACGTGCATGGGATCTGGGCTCGTCCCCGCAGTGAAGGAGCGGCGGGGCCGGGAGACCGGTCCCGAGTGAGCGGGAGTCACGGGACCCGGTGCATGAGGCACACTCGGGTCAGAAGTTTCCCCAGGGCTTGTTTTTAATGAGAAACGATATGCAGTACTGAGAGCGTCGGTGTAGGGAGCAGATGGCCTGACGGCCGGCCCAGAGTCTCCACTTAACCCGGTAAATTAAACTTTGTGTCTGAGTTTTCTTTAAAAATATTTAGTTATGACTGTGCCATGGAATTGTGTTTTAACGAAATGTGTGAGGTGTTCAAATCTACACTTGCTCACCCTACTCTTTGATATTTACGAGGGTCTGTGATGACTTTCTTCTTTTTTCCAAGTGAAACGCTACTCTTGGATTCGTTTTGTTTGGTTGTTGTGACAGTACAGGTCTGCACCATGAGACATGGCTAATCGCATACTTTTTCTTTGTAGTACGTGTTTATATACAAGGGGCAAATTCTATTCTATTGGCCACCTTACATTGTTTTCAAGAAAGACTCTGGGTACTTAGGTCCTGCACCAATCGCCTCATTTCTAAGGGAATCATAAACTTGTTTTGTAAAATTGGGCCTCTCCTTGCCTTGTCCCTCCCCTATGATGGATGTATGTGTGACTCCTCCCCTTGCTTGCAGGAAGCGCCAGGACACATACATGCCACTGCCCTTGAATCTACAAATGGTCTTGCGCGCGCACGCGCACGCACGCGCACACACACACACACACACACACACCTTTCTATAGTGACTCACACTCTTGAGGACTTTCAAACCAAAGGACTTACATGGCTGCATACCCAAAGGAAGGATGTTCGAAGGCAGCAAGAACATAATAATATATCCCATGTACATATCCCATGTGAGTGCCCACGGGGACAGATGAATCAGATCAAGGTGTCAGGCTACTAAAAATCAAGTTATTTGTGAGGAAATCCACACTGAGTACCTGCTCAGCGCCAGCATTGTAGAGCACAGTTCATAGAAGGGTCCCATGTAGTATGATCAATTTGTTAACTAATTTACAAGCCTGGGAACAAGAGAACCAAGGGATGCTGAGACTTGTAAATGCTGGCAGGTTATTTATTGAAGGAGGGTCTCTGTCCCTGCCTTTGGAGCAAGGCCTGCCCCCTCCGTGACAACAGAAATGGTCCTTGCATCATCCTTCCCTGTCTCTGCTCCCGCCATTTTATGTCGGCAGGAATACAGACTGGACTTGGGAGCTGCCCACAGGGCTGTATAGTGCACACTGTGAGCTTAGGCTGCTCTGCTCACCCAGTCAGGAAACAGCAATGGCACCTGCTGATGTGGAAGGCATCAAGAAGCAAACACTGAGTGCCTGGGAAGTGTTCTGACAAGCGAGGTGCATTCTGCAGCAACTTAGGAGTCTGCACACCTGAAACCCTGGGGCATGGGGCTCCTCATACAAGGAGAAAGGACCAGAAAACCCAGTGAAGCACACTGCAGAGCTGCCTTCAGTGATGGCAGCTTGATGGCATCTCAGAGGCCTTTGTGGTAACTGCAGTCTGCACCACCTGCAGCCTGCCCTGGACGAATCATGGCCCTCTCCCCAAGCCCCAAAAATAGAGTTCTCAGTTCCTCCTGCACCCCATTTTTTCACTTCCAGGTCTCAGTGGTCACCTCAGGTCTCCCCTCTTCATCTGGAAGTTCAGTGCCAAACCCATCCTCGTCACCTGACTGGCCCATTCTTGGGTCTTGGTTGCCAGGGCCCTTCTTCTGAAAGCCCCATCCTGCCCTAGGACAAGGGCTGTCCCCTTCCCAATGGTTCGTGTTTAACCTACAATTACGCCTAGCACCCAGTATGGCCACTGCCTCATTCTTTGCCCCAGAGCACAAACCTTCAAGTCCTAGGGCCGTTCCTGCCTGTGCACATAGCTGCCCAGGGCCCAGCCCACAGCCTTTTGTTAGACACATGGGAAACGGTGACTGGACCGATGCAGTCTCAACTACAGTAAGCCAAGCAAACACGAACCCCAACCAGGGCCGCCCGTACTCAGCAGCTGTCCCACCAGCCCCGCTGTTTGCAAGGGTCCAGAAGGCACTGCATTTGACATGATCAGAAGAATGAACTTCTCCTAGAATGGCAGAACTCGAAAATGCAGCAGCAGATAGGATTGGAGGGAGCCTCAG